GCACGTTTTTACTATTACAGCTATCAAGGTTAACTAATCGTGAAAAGTGTTGATAATTGCATTATATTTAGATCTATAGCTTTATATTTAGATTGTGGCATGAAAGGTTGCAGTGATGAGCATTGTAGCCGATCACAGACATGTTTGAGCGCATGAATGCAGTGATCTTGTCATTGCAACTCGATTTCTGCACACTAATGAATGCTTTTAACATAACTAACAGTGCAAACGCTATGTAAATACGAGATTCGTTGATTGATTATAACCAAAGGCTATAGATAAAGGGACTTTTAAACAGGAGTTTTGGCGAGAGTCACGGATAAACTCGCGTTGATTGACAGTTCCAACAATTGTTAAGGGACTGTTCTTTTGATCGCTTTCTATATATAATGTAATCACAATTTAAATAACAGATTATTTTCATCCTACTAAGAGAAACAATGTGAAGTTGACCATTTAGTCACTGGTTTGATTTACTGACACGTAGACAAAGAACATCTGACTGTAGGCTACATGAATCATTACATATCAGAAATCACTGGTCACAGATCAGGCATTAGAATCAACACAGTTACTTACATCACATTACTGTTGAGTCCATATCGTAAAAGTCTGTTTGCAAAGCCTGCGCCGAAATTGCGACTGATTTACCAAATAATCCCCAGTGTACCACATACAAATAAATAATGCTCAACTGAGACATTCACATTGTTGGTAATAAATAAATAAATAGCCACATTGCTAGCATTAGGATTCTTTGATTCAACCTAATGTTATTTTTATTCAAGTAATCCTGTATTTCTCTTCTCTCCTGGTCATCTCACTAACACGCGAGTGGGCGGGGCCAAAGTTGCAATGATGAAGAAGCCGTTGATCTTCTTCTGCAGAGGCGCTCTTTCACCTTTCTATATCTATCTTTATACCTATCTTTATATAGGCACATTCCACAACGAGTCGTTCGCTGGGCTTTGTTACAATAAAAGCTGTTTTTGGACTAACAAGGACGTTTTCAGTTCTGAAACTTACAGGATATTCTTAAAGTTTGATGACCTCTATGTCAAAAGCTCAAGGAAAATTTTATTTCTCAGTTCATGACCCCTTTAAAGTAATATACTGTAATTCTACATTTTAATCTTACATTTTATCTTTGAAATCATGTGACATTTTGAAATTTAGACCAAAAACCGTCATGCCACGCTTCTATAAACGGGAGACAATCAGGGGCCGGTTTCACAAAGATAGACTTTGACTATGGCTTAGATATAGTAGATACTCAGACTTCAGATAGACATCTAAATCAGACCGTTGCACAAAGCGCTTAAGACTCTGACTATCTTAAGTAGGACTGCACTGCAATGCATTCTGGGTAAAATAAGACCCTTTTCAAAACAAAAAACATGGCGGATCGAGTAAGCGCATTCAACTGCTCAGATCAGTTTACCCCAGCGGAAAATATGTGTTTTTTAGAGGAGTATAACAGTTGCAAGGACATTTTACTCTGGAAATTTAGCGGAGAATGTAGTAACAAGAAGAAATGTTTAATTTGTAAAGGGCCAAAAGACAAACTCTGCAGGATGGACAGCATTGCGCTGCGATTTCTTTTTCCAGTCTATAGTATCCAGTATCAGGACTGTTTTTCCTTAGAGCTAAAGGTTTAAAGAAAATATCTTACAGTAAAAAAGAAGAGTTAACCTAGCACAGAGAGTGTTGTTGACAACAAAGCATTCTGTTGCATTGATGAGCAATTAAGAAGTGGAGATAAAAGAACTGGGCTGCAGTAATTGTGCAGCATTTGACTCGTGTAGCCAAAAGTGTTTGGTTCAGTGGAAGGTGTGATCTTCTTAAGAGAGAACATTGTGTTTGTTTAAAATCAATGTCTCTTTGTCTGTTCTCTCTGCTTCCTTAATTTGTCTCTCTTTGAGGTTTGCTATCTTTGCTCATGTGCACTAGATCTGGTTACAATTTTTACAGTTACAGATGTTTTTTTGTTTTGTTTTTTAGCTGTGTAAAAGCCATGTGATTAATAACTCTGACAAAGCTGATTGGCTGAAGACATCAAAAGAACACACAGAAGGTATCGAAATTACCGTAATTATGAGATTCTGACTTGTAAAAAGCATTCATGTCTCTTAGGCCTTGTCCACACAGACACGTGCATTTTTATAACCAGAGTTTTTCCTACAGCGTTTTAAAAAAAAATCCCGTCCACACATGCTCGGTCTCCGTCTACATGAAAACGTAAAAACACGCTATCAAGCGCGGTCAAGAGCATGCCACGCCAGCAGGCGGCGATATAACCCTTAACCGTAAAGCCACGTTGGCCAATCAGAAGCGCAAATCTGACGTAAAACACATCGGATAACGGCGCACACTCTGACGTCGCAAGGCAAAAACCCCAGTTTCACTGTCTACACGACAACACTGTAACCGGCGTTTCTGAAAATCCTCACCCTGGCAGGGGTTTTAAAAAATGTTCGGTTTCAGTGCATTTTCGTGTGGACGAACGGTCGAACCGGGTAAAAAAAGTCACGGTTATAAAAATACCCGTGTCCGTGTGGACAGGGCCTTAGAACTCGTAATTACAACTTGCACACTGTTTGATTTTTCTGAGCGCTCTTACTTGCATCACCTGACCACCGCAGATTCATTTTGACGTTGATAGTGTTGCCACAGAAATGCATAATTCTGAGTCCGAGGATGTGAACAGTTGCGACTAGTCACATGTTGTCATTACATGTGTAATTACGGTAATTTTGACATGCTGTGAACACAGCTACAGTCCCTATTTCAAGCTTTCAAGAGCCTTCCAAAAACAAATTGGTAAAATTTACAGTACTACTGTAAAAATTATTTTTCAAAGTTGTAAATAAAACAAAGATTATAGGAGTATTTTTACAAGAAAATACTGTTTCAGTAGCCTGGTTGACTGGTGACCCTTCTCAGTTGTAACTTCACATTCATTCACAGGTTCATTCACAGCCCATTTCCAAAGGGGCGTCACCAACGGACGTCGCTCAAAATGCCTCTGGGCGCAATTGGATAGACCTAAAACCAATCAGAGCTATCGTCGTCGTGTAAGGCCCGCCTCAACGTTTGTGATTGGTGCCTCTATTTGGAAAAATTGGAAATGGGCTTGAATGTGCTCTTGGCCAGACTAAATCTCAAATTTGTCGGAAGTTCGTCTGGGTTTTCCAAGGCTACTGTTTCAGTTTTTGTCACTTGCTGGTGCTTTGTAATTATTTTTAAAGTTTACTTTTTCTGAGTTAAAATTGTTTCTACCCATTTTTCGGTGAATAACAATAAAATATTTGCATTTTTGTCAGAATATATGGCTACATTTGAGTGGACATCAATACAAAGTTCCGTCTTGAAACTCTAGATCCTTGGTCCTTAACTCGAACTGCTTGCAATCATTTCATTCTCTATAGGGCACAGCTGATTGGTTCCTGCCCTCAGTAGCCAATGAGCTCGCTGCTCAACCTTCAAATACTTAGTCAGCATTTGCCTCAGCAGTGCAATGTGCTTTCAGAAACCCTCCACTTCCCCAGCTCCACCTGTATAGATCTGCTACGGGTAATTCATGTACACTATTTTGTACAGCCGCAGCAAGTCTTACTTGCTTACAGCAGTGTGTTGTATATGTATTGGCCGTAGCAAGTCCCGTACTTGCGCTGCAGCAGCAGCAATAATCTACAGCAGCAGCGTAGCAGATCTATTCTGCCAAGACCAAATATATCAACTTTGTCATACCCATTACCATGCCAAACACTCCGAGAGTTATCATGACAGAAATATAGAAAGAGTTTTATTGGCCACAGTGGTGTAGTTACAGCACCTACCAGCAGGGGCTAACCAGCAAACCCCTGACTGATTGTTTTCATTAGTCGTCTGAAATAGAGAGTGAGAATGAGACCACGGGAAGAGGCAGTCACTTAGTTTATATGGTAATGTTCCCAGTCTATGCACATACCATAACAGGAAGCACTCAAGACGTGCCCCTGATAATGCTATTGGGTAATATTAAAGCTTGAATTTCTCTCTGGTGTACTTGCATGCTATCATCATAAGCATTACACTTCTGATTCATCCAGTCTAAATAAGTTCTGGATATTTTAGGAAGGTTTTATTGTTTTTTCTACTCTTGTTTGCCTGTTTCCGAATTCGATTACACGGGGGAAAGCAATAAACCTGCTTAGTGCATTACACATAATGGCTTTTGGTAAGTCGTCTTCTCTCCAAAAGCATTGTTATGCCTTGGCTTGTGTGTGTAAGCATCTTTTGCCAATACATGTTTAGTGCAATTTGTCAACAATAATTTGAATTGTTGCCTTAGAATATAAATGTCTAAGGGCTTTTAACCATATAACTCTACAATATCATATTTGATACGCAAATTTCTAAAGCCTCTAAATGATCAACATAATCAAAATGCTTTTTTATCAAGTAAAAGCTTTTAGTAAAATCGTAAAAACATCCACTTTTAGGTTGTGGAGAGTTTTTGCTGTGAGTTTTTATAAAGTTAACGTAAGAGTATCAAATATGATCAATCAGGCTTTTGAGGAACATTTATTTGTTCATCTCTCGATCGTTGCATTGCATTACATGTTTTAAAACTACAGAGCTTTGATCATAAAACCAAGCTTTTAAATATCATCATATTATTGGGAGATATAGAGTGACGACTGATATTATATGCATTTTATGTACATATAAAGATTTCGTTGATTTACATCATTATGCTATCAGAATTTCATTTACTTTTTGGCCATATAAATATACGTATCTGCACCAGATTGCCTCTGAATAAAATTGATGTTTGAGCTTCATATACTCACTATATCATGCTATATGAGTCATAAACACCTGATGTTTCAAATATGATATTTAACAAAAACACATATGCAAATATAGGACATTCATACACATATATAAGGTTATACTGCTAAAAAAAAATTTTTCTCTTCTCCTTTGCAGGCATATAGTCCTTCTGCCAGCTGCCACAATGTTTAAGAACAGCTTGAAAATGCTTCTGACGGGGGGGAAATCCAACAGGAAGAGCCGAAACAGCAGCGGTCAGTCTGAACTTTTTATGTCTAACCACTCGGTAACATGTTTATCCACTAAGATATCATCTAAATATGACTGCATACTTGTTTGTGTTTTTCTTTTTAAAGTGCTATTTTTTAAACCGCGTGAAGCAGGATATTTTAATAATCATTGCAAACTTCCTATTTGGCCCTGAGCTGGTATTACAGAAGCATGTAAGAGAACGAACAGCCTAAAGCCTTGATTATCCATCAGGCCTCAGTGTTGGAACTCATTTCTCTCTGGGATACTGGGATGTTCTGCCAATATATGGGTTTCCATATGCTTCCTGATATAACTGACAAATCTGCAGCAGGCCGAGCATGAGGCATGTAGTCTCAGCATCAGACGGCATGTCCACATGCCATTCGCTGACCGTCTGATACTCAACACTTGAAAGGATCACAAGCTCTAGTCAGATTACCAGACGGCAATGCAATGCCAGGCGCACGTCTCGGCAGTTTGACTGACAAAAAACCTGTTTTTAACTGGTGAGGAAAACGAACAAGTGGATTTGCTTCAAATCTTTGAAAGATATTCAGAGATTGGTTTAAGTTGCGTGCAAACTAGATTTTCTCAAGCAGAACCAATATTTATAATCACATAAAGATCAACTCTACATACTATTAGGGTAGTTTTGTTGTATATTATTGTGGTTTGAACCATTTCAGATTTAAATTAGAATGATACAGAAATGGAAAAACATCTGGCAAGTTCCTAGAAATATCTCTTTGTGTCATGTGGTTTTGTAAAACATTTGTTGTTTTTAACTAAAAACTATTGTCATGTGGTGTAACCAGGTAAAAATAATAACCTATTTTCATTACACTTTGTATACACGTCAGTGTATCTCATCTTAATCATTATTTTCAAAATAATGTTCAAGTTTTTAAGTATTTTTTTGTTTTACAAATATCAACAATTATTAGTTCATAAATATTACTTTATTTAGGGGGTTGTACCATATGGCATTTTATAACGTATTAATAATGCATTTTATAACGTATTTATAACGTATATAAATACGTTATAAAATGCAATAATGCAATAATGCATTTTAATGCAATAATGCATTTTATAACGTATTAATAATGCAAGGTTTGAAAGTAAACAAAACACATATTTGCCATAGAAACCTAATTTTAGTCAGAGGTTTCTATGGCAAATATGTGTTTTGTTTACTTTCAAACCTCTTAACAAAGGTCAATTCCTCCGAAAATTCCGAAAGTTGCAATTACGAGTTCTACAAGACGGAATCTTGTAATTATGGAAATTCCGATATAGTTGCATCACACGATTTTGATTTTGTCTTTTTAAATGAAAAAATCATGTCATTAAAACTTTGATTAGATGGTCTCTTCAGCCATTCTTGGCCTCTGAAATAAGCCTTTAGGTGACACTAAAAATCTATCTTCTTGAGAAGGAGACATTAATTAAGAGCAAAGAAACAAAAAGAACAGAGTGATTCGTAAAATCCTTTTCTGGTGTCATATTTACTGTGCTGCGTCTCAAAGCTCCCTGTGTAATTACAGCATAGCCAAAACCTCAGTCATTATCACACGGCCGCTCTAATAGACGTGTTCTCCCACTGGAGCTGGTTTAGTTGGAAGTGATCTCATTAACCACTGGTTCCAGAGATAAAGCAACCATTTCAAATGATATTGATGTCTGAAGCTTTTTGCCACTGGAATTGAGTAATAGTCAAAGCATGTGCAAAATCCATGCTTTTATATAAAAATACCACCATGCATGTAGGGCCATATGATATCCATGATGATGCAGAAAACATAGATGTCTTAAAAGTCAAAAAAGGCATTTTACTGCACAATGCGTAATGTCACAGAATTTGAACTTCATCTCCAGAGCTGCTCTGAGACTCATTTCACCATTTCATTAGAGAAAGCTATCGTCAGATACACACAGAAACTCAAAGCTCTTCACTACAACATGCCAAAAATAAAAGTTTGGTGCATTTTTTGGTGATACCTGCATTTTTCGGGAGTTATTTCAGTTGTAGATTGCAGTTTTCACTCCTGTAAATTACTGTACTGTGTTATTACAGAATGGGATTAAGCACTAAAAAGTGAATTGACAACCGAATTTAGCTGCAGTGTGTTCGTGGCCTATACTGTAAAATATCCATCTGCGAGACCCACATATGTTTCTTTGTCTCTTTCCCTCTCTTTCTTTATTTATCAGCAGAAGTAGCATGAATACTTTACGGTCTCTCTCTGCTTGTTTAGTGCCCTTGGCCTTGACCCATATAATGATGATGTTCAGCTAAATGTCACCCTCACTTTCTGACAAAATTTCCCGCATACAGTATTTCCATCTATCCTTGTGCACTCTCTCTCTAATGACCTCTTTCTCTTTGTTTCACATTGCATTACACCTTTATGTGTACATTTTTTGTTCACTGTATGATGAATAGGTGCACATGGGCAATTATGAGATGAGGGCAGATCTTTGTCGATGAGTGCAGGAATGAACAAACACCATTCATTTCAGGTGGAAATCACATTGCTCTCATGGTTGTCATGCTTTATATTTGTTGATGTTGGTGCTTGGATATATTTGATTTCCTCTATTTAACCTGAATTTTTATATTTGTGCCTATATGTGTGGTATGTAGCTTTAATCTAAACTACAGGATGATAAAATAATCTAAATCAATATTCAATGTCCATGCATGTATTCATTTGGTATGTAGCTCTGTTGCAGTCAGCCAGTCATTATTGCATAATAAACCCCTTGAGGGTGAAACAAGACACCGATCACGCTGTCTGGGTTTATTTCACAATAATGACCATCAGACCGTACGCTATCCCTTACGTATACGTATACAGGTGGGTCATTTTTTTAAAATAATTTTGTCTAGTGTTTTCTGAGTCAGTGTCGGCTGCATAGATGAAGTTGATGATGCTGACTCGACATCTCTGCAGAATAGATGCTCCTATAGTTAAGTTAAACATGTCAGCCAGTAAACACTACTTATTTGGCTTTCAGACTCTGCACAAACACTTGGATATGCGCCTAATAATAGTGCACTTTACCTAGGTTAATATTGGACATGTAAAAGTGGCTAATGTTAGGCTAAAGGTAGGGGTGAAACGATACACAGAAGTCACGGTTCGGTACGTACCTCGGTTTTGGGGTCATGGTTCGATATGAGTTCGGTACGACAGGAAAAAGCAACAAATCCCCAATGCTAGGTTTCTTTTCATTTATTGTGAACAGACAGTTGTGCAAATTACAGTTTGTTCCAACTAGCAGAAAATATTGTGCTTTTGTAAAATAAAGAAAACAAAATCTTGAAAAAAGAATGTGCACTCTTGCTTAGGTCATATTTTTTGTTGGGCTGATAAAAAACAAAAGTTATTTGGTCACAATCAGCTAAACAAAACTGAAATGCATCTTTTATGTACAGTTTTTTTGTTATTGTTGCGGGCAAAAATCCTTGATTATGCGGCCCGTTGTTTTTAAAAATGCGATGGAATATGCAGGATATTTATGCAATTTTATGCGATGAAATTGCGGGAACTTGCAAAAACTGTGGTTTGATGAAAAAGAGAAAAAAAGTGATTCCCCAACACCCTGTTCTCACTAGGCTACTACCTTATTGTAAAGAGTCATTTCTTATTACATTCTATGATAAGCAAGCATACATCACAGAAAGTCCTGGGAATATTTAAGTTCTCATCGTGTTTTATTTCAGACGTTAAAGGGGTCATATAATGCCATTTTTGTACAAGCTAGTATGATTCTTTAGGGTCTAAATTAAAAGTTTGTAATATACTTTAATTAAAAATTCTCATTAGTATTGTAAGAAAACACTTATTTTACCTGGTCAAAAACAGCTCTGTTTTCAGCACGCCGTTTCAGTGCATATGACTTTAAATGATCATGAGCTTTGCTGACTCCGCCTCTCTGTTCTGTGCGTACACCGTTTGTAACACAATACCATATCGCGTTGTTCAGTATAAACGTGGGATTATGAATTATATTGAGAACGTCATACATAGAAAACATGCCGTAATGTACCCTAAGTGTAAACCTTAGATGCATTCATTGTGAAGCGTGCAGCTAGCGATTTGCAAAGATTAATATAAATATTAATATAAAGTTTAATAAAACGTTACACTCACTTCAGTTGTTCTAGAGGTTCAGCAGGAACACGAATAGCTGGTACCGATCCTTTTTTCATGAGCAGCTTCTTAGCAAAACCAGCTTTATACTGACCCTCGTTTATAAAGCAGTCTGGTGAGAAATGATTCGCGCAAACATGAGAGCATTGACGTTGCTCGTGGGGAATATTCCCTTCGAAAACAAACTCAGCCACTGCGTCTTCAGCGGTTCGGATTTAGGAACATTAAAATGACTGTGTTCGTTATTACACCCAAGAACAGAACACCACAATCGCTTAGACGCCATTCTGCTCATAGACAGTGCTCCAGCATATCAACAATGACCGCGCCGGTCCGCGCAGACTATGATTGACAGCTGGCTCACGAGCCTCACGAGGGTCTGTGTTGAAACGCTGCTGTCAATCAACAATCGTGGGAGGGGCTTCCGAGCGTGTGACGTCACAATGTCGAACGGCTCGATTTGAGGCAGGGGAAAACATATAAGGAGATTAAAACAAAAACACTGGATGGATTTTTATCATTTTATGATGGTTGTGTACAGGCACTGCCAACACACATTTCAGTACAATCAACTTGTAAAAGTGCATGTACCATTATATGACCCCTTTAATAAAAATATCAAACTTACCAAGTTAGCTTTACAAAAGGAATATGCTATAACTTCTGTAAAAATGAATAAATTAAATATAAAAAAAGTTTTACAGCTTTTCAATGATGTTCACGTTGCATAATTACGTCACTTCATAACGTTCCCATGGCAACAGGGGGAAACGGCTGCTCTTGTGTGAAGCAAACGCAACATTTTTCAACTTTCTGCTAAGATATATGTGACTTTTTTGCAA